AAGAATTGAGATGAAAGGGAATTAGTATTTGGAAGAGTTGGGATGAATGGGTTGGAAGAGTTGGAAACCACACGATAACTTTTGGATGAGTGTTCATGTTAGATTGATCCATGGGTTGTTTTTCCAAGGGAGCTTATGGGATAGGATGTGAACTGATGAAGAAGATGGAATGGGTGGTGAGAATCAGGAAGATGAGGAGATGAAGATATTGCATACACAAACCACAAATACAAAGTATACTATATTTTTTCTGGGGCAGCTGGGATTGATTAATAGGGGGAGGCGGTCCTACTATTGGGGGGGTAGGGCCTCTGTGAGTGGCACCCTTTGTGAGCTTGAAACAGTTAAGATGTTGATAGAGTTTTAATAAGGGAAAATGAAGGACTTTTGCTAGAGAGTTTTTGGGGTTTGGGGGGATGGTTGGTAGCATGAGACATGAGGAGAAGCCATCAAAAGGATTGGTGAGCAGGATGAGAATCAGGAAGATGAGGAAATGAAGAATTTGAATACTAGCAAAAAAAGAAAATCAATAAGAAAAACACATATAAAAGATATTGGAGACTAGCTAAAATAATGTAATATAAAAGAAGTATACATAAATTGTAAACAATATTTCCTATTTTTTGGGGCAGCTGGGATTGATTAATAGGGGGAGGTTTCTGCACAGGAAAAACATTATTAGGGTGATGCCAAGGTGGAAATCTAGGTGTTCAATTAGTTTAGTATTGGAGGGGTCGAGCTGGGATTGATTCATAGGGGGTGGTTACTTAATCCTATGTCAACATTAGCCACACACACACAACAGCTTGCAGTCGCTGGATGCACCCCCCTGTTGTGAATAAGGGGCCTGCATGCATGGGATTGCTTGGGCTCTCAAGCTTTGCACATTCAGTTGTGATAGCGAGTCGGTATGTCCAATGTAAACTCACTTTGAACGTCGGAGCCTGAAGCAATGTACTGTATCAGCACCGGCAGTCACTGGCACATGAGGGGCAACCCCTATAGAAGACCCATCAAAGAGTATGAGTGGTGATAAGCACAAGGCACCTGGATGCCAAACGCTCCAACTCATTGTAAGGATCAGTCTCTACATCCTCCAAATCATTCAATTGACGACATATGAAAAACCTTCAAGCAAAAACAGTGACGAAACACAAGGTCTAGGATAATGCGGAGCGTTCAACTGTACAGCATACATGTATCTTCTCTATTCGTCTCAACAGAGCTTTAGTTACAGTATGCAAAAGCAAAGAAGATTGCTTGGGCAGGACTATCTCCGGTCCGCGCCTCATCACTATGCTGACCAATGGATGGACCACCAGAATCAGTACGACCAGGCGACCAAGAGAGCTTTGGCCTCATGTATCAGGACCATGCACAAGCGGTGTGCCAACCAACAGCAGCGACATCCTGGGAGGAAGAAGAACTTCAACGATACAGTCAAACAAATCCTCAATTAAGTATAAGAATATACATGTATATACTATACTGTATATGGCTGTTGTGCTTTCCAACTGGCCGATTGTAAACGGCATGTTGCTACGTAGTACATTGTGGTCCATACGGTCATGAATGCTGTCAATTGTAAATCACTCCCGGCGTCGGACTCTGTCGGCTCTCAGCTTTTGGCCCGATCGCCGGCACTTTAAGATGTCCCCCGTGGGAGAGCTCAACCTCCTGCAGGCCACGGACGTGCCAAATGTGCCAATGTCCAACTCCAATGGTGTGACAAACAGTGTTCCAGCAGTTCTCGTTGCTGATTTTCCCATCGAAACAGATTCTATACATAAGATTCAAGATTCTTGGCTACAACAATTGCATATATAGACATAGATGCTGCTGTCTGCGCTGGTGTTGAGGGCACGTCATAGTTGGAGTCCGCATGGAGTTGAACAGCATTTCTCCGGACAACTGACCTCAACTGCCCCAATGAACAGTGGCAATTGTGGTGAGGTGGCTTCTCCTCGAAGCATTTTCGGCTTTGAAAGTGTTCATCGTCCATGATCTCCTGAGGTGGCCAACAAAAAGCCCGTGCTGCTGTTATGAGCAATCTGGTTTCGAAACTGCCTTAAACACGTGGGATTGATGTTGAAAGTGTGAAGGGCATGTGGAACGCTTGCTGTCGGAAGTTGTGCAGTTCGCCGCCTTTGACTTTTTCACTACCTCAAGGTATCCGGATGACCGCATTCGCGACAGGCAAAAGTGCCTCACTGCCTGCGTTTTGCTTTTGCCGGGCCGACTTGGTTTTTCCTTTTTCGGTTGCGGAAAGACTCTTGTTCTTAGAGGGACTGGCCCCCCAATCACCCACATTGGTAGCGGAGCTAGAGGGCGGAACTAGGTTTTCTAGGCTGCCTGCTGCACCCACATCCAATGGCCGTCGCCATGCCGAGCGATGGCCTCGAGAGCGCTGAGCCAGCGCTGCCTGATGCGGCCGCCGTGCCGCTGCCTGACCAGGATCCTTGGCAGGAGCCTGGACAAGATCCATGGCACCCGGCTGGAGGAGGAGAGATGGGCTCTCAATCCCCCATGCCTGGTACGGGTTCGAGCACGCCAGTGGGACCAACGGAACGGGACAACCTGTGACATTGGGCCCCTCAGCTGCCTCAGTACAGCCTGGTCAAACTCATGCCACATCAGAGGCACCTATGACAATCCCAGGTGGGCCTCCAGGATTGTTGCAGGCCTCTTCAACGGCAGCCCCAATGACCATGGCACCAACGACAGCACCACAGGGTATGATATCACCCATGGGACCGTGCTCATGCCAGGGATCAGGATGGATGATGCCTCAAGGAATGGTAGCACCACATACTACCCCGTTTGGAGCATGTCTTGGAGTACCACCCAATGGGTTCACGGCACACCACATGCCTCCAACACCGTGTATGGGCTATCCCACTATGCCTTGGTCAACATTCCCTTGGGCATGGCCTCCCCATCCAATGCCCCCGGCACCAGTATCCAGCCCCCTGACAGCACAGACAGCACAACAGCCGATCCAGGGACCACCAGCCACGTCAGGGACTGGTAGCTGGTCAAGACCCGCTTCAGTGCAGGGACCTCAAACCAAGCAGAGTGCTCCAGAGACACCAGAAGACGACGATCTGGACGACAGCTCCTCGGCACAAACTTCAGAAATCCGATCCATGCTGCGACAACGAATGAAGAAGGAAGGGGACGGCTATCAGAGGCCGAAGAGTTCCCTTGGATCGGTTCGCATCGAAGAGTACTGGGGAGAACGCTCCAGGTATGTGAAGTGGAAGCGCACCATCCAGGCACAGCAGTGTTTGTATGGCCTGGAGTCTCAGGAGTTGGCAATGCTGATCTACCTCAGCACACGTCGAGAGGCCCGAGACGTTGTGGAACAGCATCCAGTGACCTCATACACTGGAGCTGGGAAGCGTTCGGAGAGTCTGAGGCTGAGCTCTTTGAACGAGCCGACAAGGAGCTTGAGAAGTACCGCCGGGCACCAGGAGAAAGCATTGCACATTACCTTGCAGAGATGAGGAGGCCCAGAGCTCAGTACACTCGAGTTGATCCTGACACCAAGCTATCTGATCGTGCTTGGGCCCAGAAGCTGCTCCACAAGGCTTCGTTGAGCCGGAAGGATCGGTATGACGTGTACTACAGTGCCGGAGCCACCTATGACCCGATCGCCATCGAGAAGGCTCTCCGTGTTCGCTGTCAGAAGACTCATGAAGATGAGAGGAGAACACCTTCCAGAACACCACACCGTGAGAGAGGTGAGAGAGAGCGAGAAGATGATGGCAAGGTGAGCGTCTTCAAGAAGAAGAAGATCTTCATCAAGAAGAGAGTCCATGGTGCTCATGTAGCTGAAGGCTTGGAAGATGAAGATGAGGAGGAAAGTCCAGCCGCCATGGAGCAGGAGCCTCACGAAGAAGAAGAAGTCGGAGACCAACCTCCGGACGATGAAGAGGCGGCGGAAGATGATGAAGACAACAGGACAAGTGATGGTGAGATGGAGGAAGGAGAGCTGAAAGAAGCATTTGCCGCCGGTTGGAAGGCAAAGCAAAAGGTAGCAGATTTCAAGAAGCAGAGAGGATGGAAAGCTACCGACAAGAAGGGCGAGAAAGGAGCCTCCAACACGACCATCGACGCCAGGAAGAAAGCAACGACATGCAGTAGTTGCGGATGTCAGGGACATTGGCGGGGGGACCCTGAGTGTGTCAATGTCATCAATGGACGAGACCAGCCACACCACAAGAAGACATCAATGGTCCACTTCACCTACATGGTTTCCAGTGGAGATGCACTTCAATGCCCTCAGTGTCACTGGCCGGTGCAGGAAACTTCCAAGTTCTGTGGAGAGTGCCGCTGTGCTCTTCATCCTGACCAGCGGATGTCAGGACAGTCCAAGCGAAGCGGAGAAGATGATGAGTGGGAGGAGGTGAAGGATGATCGCTTCGCGTTCTCAGTGAAGAAGACATCCATTGTTGGAGCAAAGCCCAAAGCAAAGGCAAAGAGCCTGGTACCTCCTGGTCAAGTTCGTCTTCAAGGTCAAGAGCTGATGACTGCCTTGCCTTCCATGTCAAAGGAAGAGAAGAAAGCCCTTCAGCAAGCGTTGCAAGAAGAGGAGGACAAGGAGGTGGAAAAGAAGAGAGAAATGTATAAAGAGCTGATGAGGGAGTGGAGCTACTACGATGACTATGAACCCACTGGCCGGGAACTTTTCCCGGAAGATCCCAGTCGGTATGACGCCTGGAAGGCAAGAAGGGGCTATGGAGGAATCGACGAGAAGGACCCCATGGCATCAGCTTCAAGCAGTCAGACGCCAATTCCACCGGCGCCAAGAGCTGATAAGCCTAAGCCCGTGAAGGAGAAGGAGCTCCAGCAGTTCAGAAAGACCCTGTACGATCAGCAAGTGCGACATGGCCGTTGCATGCCCTCGTCGGCCGCCAGCTGTCCGACAGAAGCTCAAAGTCTCTGTCCACATCGATTCGAGGACTTGAAGTGGTCAGCCAATGCAGAAGGACACTTCGCCCGGTGCAAGACCTGTGACCTCAAACACGTGGTGTACTACTCCAATCGACATGGAGTGATGATGGTGAGTCAGCACCAACCGCCACCCGGCGTGAGTCAAGAAGCACGGGTGTGGATCAGAGAAGATGAAAGAGCTGCTCACTTTCGATGGGTCAACAATGGAGGACCAATGAAGCATCAGGTCACATGCCGTGTCACGAAGGATGTGCACGGAAACAACCTTGAGGTGAAGTTCCTGAAGGGAGATGAGGAGATGAATGACCTGACTAAGCCCATCGATGGACCACCACGTGCGCTGCTCACTGAGTTCTGGTATGAGCTTGAGAAAAAGGAGGCCAAGCAATCACCTATGCCGTCCAATGTCCACTACATTCAGGCACAGAAGCCAGGACTGGCCATAGCAGACTCAGGATGTTGGAACTCGGTGGGAGGTGAAGTATGGCACCAACACTTCCAAGATGCTTTGAGGGCACACGGCATCCCTTGGGACGAAGTCGCGGAGAAGGAGACCTACAAGTTCGGGGCAGGAGCACCCATTGTGAGCCAAACAGCTTGTCTCTACCCCGTCCTGATCCATGGACAGGTGGATGTCGTGAGGATGTCAGTGGTTGGAAAAGGTGGCGCTGCTTGTCCGGGCCTGATTGGTCCCGGTGAATTGAGTCGGTGGGATGCCATCTTTCACTTCAAGGACAAGCAAATGGAGTTGAATGGCCTCAAACGTGAGATGCGATTGACGGCCACAAGGCACCCCGGCATCGAGCTGATGGAGTTTCATCCTGAAGAGATAGCAAAGGTCAAGCAGTTCTGGCAGTCAGAAGAAGCAGAGAAGAAGAGAAAGATTTTGAAGAACACTCCCCACTCGTATGCATTCCTGACAACTGAAGGTGAAGAAGATGAGACCGAGGATGATGACACGGAGGAGGAAGAAGTGCCAGAGCGAGATGACCGTCAAAGGAAGGTGGAAGAATGGACCCAGCAGCTTGAAGATTTGGGCGTGATGATGGTGCCCACAGTGCCGGCCTTGGAGGAGGAAGAAGAGGCAAGCAGTTCAGCAATGTCAGATGGTCACGACTCCTCAACGTCACATGAAAAGGGGGTCGATATGGTGACAGATGACTCTGACAGTGAAGAAGAAGGGACGAAGCAAGCCCTAATTGCTGAATCAAAGATGATGCACAAAGGCCTCCGTCACCGTTTGGACCATGTCTTGAGTGAAATCAAGAAGACCTTCCAAGGAGAGACAAAGGCACAAAGAAAGAAAGAAGCAGAAGGAGAAGATGGAGGCAGAAAGGAAGAAGTGAGGAGAGGAACAAAGAGGAAGTGCCCATGGACCATCGTGGAGATCTTTTCGTGGACATGTGCAATTTCGATGATCGCTTCTATGAGGGGCTGGAATGCCTCAGAGCCGATTTCGCTTCCACACTGGGACTTGCTCAAAGGCCAAGACCGCGCTGCAGCCCTTCAGTATCTCGACCAGCTTGACCCTGATGTGATGGTCATCGCTTGGCCTTGCACAGTATGGAGTCCGCTTCAAGTGTTGGCAACAAGTCACCGTGGCAAAGAGAACGACTTGAAGAGAGGAGAGAAGAGCAGGTCTGCTGTTGGGAGAGAATCCCAAGCCCTCTCTTGCATGGCAAGAACCTCTCATAGTGGAAGCCTTTGATGGAATGGGTTCGATCACCACGGACATGTGCCAGTATGGCCTCCGCATCCCAGAAGGAGGTCCATTTTTGAGAAAGAGAACTCGTTTGCAGGGCACTCCGGAGCTGCTGCAGCCTTTAGCAAAACTATGTCCTGGGACCCATGAACACACCCCTGTCTTGGGTGGCATGAGACATCAGGGCAAGTGGATGAATGTTTCGGATTTTGCCGGAGGCTACACCAGTCGATTCGCTCAAGCCGTGGTGAAGCAAGCAGAGAAGGTCTTGGAAGAGAAAGGAAGAAGGCCAGAAGCCCTCCTGACACTCCCTGCATTCCCAGAAGAAGATCTAGATGAAGAAACAGAGAGGACAGAGGTGAAAGGCTTCAAGGAAGAACAACCACAGAGCTGGCGAATCCAACAGCTCCACAACAGGTTGGGACATCCAACCAACTCCACACTGAGCAAAATGCTTTCTTTGGCAGGCGCTTCCAAGGAGATTGTGAACAGAGCTCAAGATTTTCAGTGCCCAACGTGCCAGGAGACACAACCTCCTGGACGTTACTTGAAGGCCAGTGCTGAGATGCGCACCACTATCTTCGGCAAAGAACTGCACTGTGATCTAAAGTACTTGCATGACCACAAGAATGCATTGTATGTGGCCTTATCGATGGTAGACAGTGCTACTTCCTTTCATCAGGCAGTCCTCCTGAGAAATCGCTCAGCAGAACATGTGGCCCGCAAGTGTTTGAGACACTGGTTCGCTCTGTTTGGAACTCCACAAACCATCGTACTGGACCAAGGAGGAGAATTCGATGGCTACTTCACTGGCTTTCTAGAGCAACATGGAGTACACAGAAGGTGAGTGGAAGCAAGTCAGCATGGCAACACGGGTTTGCCGAGCGTCACGGGGCGTTGCTGGGAACAATGTTCACATCTCTGGCCTGGCAGTATAAGGTTGAAGGGAGAAGCCAAGTGAAGGATGCTTTGTGTGCTGCCGTGCAAGCAAAGAACTCAACTCTCACGAAAGGTGGGTACACACCTTTCCAACTTGCTTTTGGGCGACGGCCCATGTTTCCAGACCTCCTTGAAGAAGACGTTGAAGGAAACATGTCCCTTCGAGAAGCCCTTTCATTAGAAGGAGAAGTTCAGAGGGCATCAGAGATGAGAGCGCCGCCCGTGCCACTCTTCTAAGGCATGATGTTCAGTCCAAGCTGCGAAGGGCACTGAGGAGGTGGCCGAAGGGTGAAGAAAGAGAGTTCGAGCCAGGAGAACTGGTGTACTTCTACGCCCCAAAGCCCTTGAGCACACGTTTCAAGAAGGAACCCGGGTTCTGGCGTGGACCAGCAATGGTGCTGGCAAAGGAGTCACACCAGAAGTTCTTCATCAGTTGGCGAGGCCGATGCCTTTTGGTCTCTGCAGCCAACTTGAGATCAGCCTCACGACTGGAAGGAAAAGATCATGACAAGAGGCTGCAAGAAGGAGAAAGGCTGGAGGAAAGTTGGAAGAAAGGAGAGAAGCAATTTGAAGACATGAGTGCAGTTCCAGAACCGGTAGAAGAAGAGAAGACTGAAGCTCTGGGCTGGGAAGCGCATGATGGAGTGGTTTCAAGGAAGCCAGGAGGAAGACCTAAGAGCCAAGCAAAGGAGATCGCCAAGACTCTGAGGGGAATGAAGACAATCAAGACGATCCAGAAGCATAGAAGGAAGAAAGAAGATCGCCTCGACCTCCGGAGTGGGACAACGAAGCCAATTGAACGACTGCCTCAAGAAGAAGCGAAGTCCAGCGATTTCAAAGATCCCCAGGAGGAAAAGAAGGATGAAGAGGCCAGGAACCAGAAGATGCAGCAAATCCAAGGAGAGATGTATAAGTGGTTGGGCAAGCCACAAGAAAATGGCTATCAAGACCGTTTGAGACAACATCTGATTGATGATGTGCCCATGCAGTTCAAGAGAAAGCATCAAGAGGAGCCAGCTGGACAGTTGTCTGAGGAGCAGCTGGTGAAGAGGTTCAGGCCCTCCTTCTTCGCTTACACGATGCTGGCCTCCATCAATCGGGATGGCAAGAAGCGGGCGAATCAGTGGGCATCTAAAGAGGAAGTTGAGAAGCTGAAGATCTTGCTTGACCTGCCCATCACCAATGCCCGTTTCCATTTCGGAGCTCGCAAGCGACTTCAAGATCCCAAAGGACACAAAGGTCAAGCACTCAAGCACGTTACACAGTGATGCTCGGAGAACAGACAGGCTCAGCTCTGGTGACACAAGAGACGACTGAAGAATGTCAACAAAGACCCAAAAGAAAAGCTCCCCTCCTGTGGAAAGGAATGACACTCTTTGTGCACCAGGGCCAAAAGAAATCAAAGGAGTACCAGCTCCCAAGTGGCCTATATGAAGCCCGGGTGAGTGACCTCCTGGAATGGAAGAAGATGGTCAAGGAGGAAGATAAACAACAGGCATTCTTTGAAGCTTTTCTCCTCCAGATGAAAGCAAGCGGGAAGGAACTCGATCCAAGATTCTTCAGCACAGAAGAACGGAAAGCCTTCGACGTCGCTGACAAGAAAGAGTGGGAATCTTGGGTGAAGAATCGAGTCATCAGAAGGCTCACCCCTGAAGAGGCCCGAAGAGTAGTAGATCTGAAGAACATCTTCAAGGCACCAGCAAGGATTGTCCGGGTCAATAAAGGGGCCATGCAGGGCATCTTCCAACCAAAGTCCAGGATGGTGATCCCTGGCCATTTGGACCCACACCTTGGCCAGTATCGGTCAGATGCACCGACGGTGATGTGGATCAGTGTCCAGCTCGCCAAGGCGGTTTGTGCCATGAAGAAGTGGAGAGCCCTGACCTTTGATGTCACGACGGCATTTCTCAGTGGCAAGGAGGTCGACAAAGAGGTGATGGTCAGGGCACCGCCGGAGGGCTTGCCGGCAATTCCTGAAATGAAAGAACCAGCAGTTAAACCAGGAGAGCTGCTGAGAGTGGTGAAGAGTGCCTATGGCTTGTCAGAAGCACCCAGGTTATGGTACCTGCGGGCCAAAGAACTGCTCGAGGAAGCAGGATTTGAAGAACTCCAAATGGCAAAGGCCACCTTCCTGAAGAGATCCAAGAAGAACCAGGAGGTGGAAGCAATCCTTTGCCTACATGTGGATCGCAAGCTTGCTCCAGCCATCCAGCAGTCCATCGACAAAAGGTTCGCAATAAAAGAATGGAAAGATCTGGAAAAGGAGCCAGAGACCTTCCTAGGAGTGAAGACAAGTTATGCTGATGGAGCCTTCACCGATGACATGACAGAATACATCGACAAGATCAGCTTCGCTCCTGAAGAGACACCTTCAGAAGAACCACTGGTGGGAAAGCAACTGTCGGCATTCAGGCGCCTCATCATGCAGTTGCGTTGGCCCTCACACCATGTGCTTCCGGAATTCCTCTACAGAGTGAGCGAGTTGGCCCAACGAGTAAGTCATGCAAAAGGAGGCGACCTGAAGTATGGCAACAAAGTTCTCAAGTCCATGAAAGAAAGTGCAGCCCAAGGCAAGGCCACCATGAAGATCCCCGCCATCTCAGGGGAACCGCTGCTGATCGGTTTCTTCGATGCCTCCCTTGGAACATCCAAGAGCACCCATGCCCAACAAGGAGAAATCCACCTCCTTACCAGCACCACGGCATTTCGCCAACCAACCCCCATGTGCATCCTCGAATTCCACTCAAACCGCATCAAGCGTGTGGTTCGAAGTTCGCTTGCGGCTGAGGGATGCGCCATGAGCAGTTGTGGAGACCGGCAGCTGTTCAGCCGGGCTTTGCTGGATGCCTTCCTATATGGGAAGATGGAGGTGACCTCTCAGTGGCGCCGGGAGCTCAAGACTTCCGGCTGTTTGGTGACCGATGCAAAAGGATTGCACGATCATCTCCATAAGACCGGAGGGGTGGCAACTGAGCGGCAAGCAGCGTTAGATATGCTGTTGATGAAGCAGCTCATCGAGGATGGCATCATCGGCCTGAAGTGGACGCCAACCTGGCGCCAATTGGCCGACCCTCTCACGAAAGAGATGATGGCCACACTCCTCGAAGACCTGAAGAAGTCAGGCCAGGTCTGTCTGACCCAAACGGCAGCAGACGCCATAGAAGAAGAGCGACGTGCTGGGATCCGACGAGGCCAGCGAGAACGTCGCAAAGAACGAATGAAGAATACAAAAGAAAAGACAAGAGCCGACAGCAACACTTTTTCCCTTTGATGTGAAGGGCATGTGGAACGCTTGCTGTCGGAAGTTGTGCAGTTCGCCGCCTTTGACTTTTTCACTACCTCAAGGTATCCGGATGACCGCATTCGCGACAGGCAAAAGTGCCTCACTGCCTGCTTTTTGCTTTTGCTGGGCCGACTTGGTTTTTCCCTTTTCGGTTGCGGAAAGACTCTTGTTCTTAGAGGGACTGGCCCCCCCAATCACCCACAGAAAGTTCGCGCAGTTAAAAAGCTGTTGGCGTCCTTGATGGAAAAAATGGGGCCGCAAGGAACGGCCGCCGCCTTGCAAGCCGCCTGAACCTGGAAAATTTGATTCATTTTGATTCGGTGTCAAGTTCAACCATCTGTTCCAATAGTGAGCAAGGGTGTAGGTCATCATCCTTGTTGTTCTCCAAGCACCCATATCCTAAAAGTACCGTACCACACGCAACAGTAAAGTATCGGCCCCGCTTCTGAAGCATCATTGGAGGACGTCCATTCAATGATGGCTTGGTCGAGAAGCTCCTGCGTGAAAGGATGGGCGCACAGTCAAACCATGTCAAACCCACAATCAAGTGTCCCACTCGATCCGAAATAGGTGTTGTACAAAAGGTATCCATCAAAACTAACCCTGCTTTGGATCCAATCGTGACACTTATTGCATCGAGAAATCCTTGCCACAAAATGTCAGCACACCCTGCAAATGCAGAGTAGGCCCAAATTGTGGCAAGTTTATGAATTTACATTTTGGGGCACGACTTGACAATGAAGATTGACAATCGTGGACGCTACTTGTGGCATTTATCGCTGTAGAAGCGACCATATCTGATGTTGTGGTAGTTGTGCGATGAGTCTTCGCGCAAATACAGCACAGTGCAACAATGCCTTCTGGCGAAGCTACTATAACCAGTAAACATAACAAGTATTGATATGGCTATCACATCAACCAAGCACCAAACAGTCCCAAAGCAAAAGTCATCCGTCGTAGAGACATGAACCAACAGCACTTGCCTCCTACAAAAGAAAGAACGCAAACAGCATTCATGGAATCGAGTGCTCAGAAGCATGGTTCACAAAAAACGTGCTAGAAACAAAGGTCTAGTCTAGGCAACTTGCAAGGTAATCTATTTCTCAAATTTGGACGTCCATTGGCCTCTGCAGTTTGAGAACCCTCTTACTCCTGGTGCTTGCAGCGGCCACTGTTCTCGGCAAACCGTGGGTCCTGACAGAGACTAGGTGCCGAAACATCTTGTTCCGCGACTATGTAGCACTGCACATCCTGAAATTAGACAATCTGTTAGGTGACTAGGTGATGAAACAAAACGTTTCCCAACACAATCTCCAACATGATCCAATATGCCATTCAACGTGCAAGATGGCCCAGTGTCCTCCGCCAAGTCAGCTCGGCCCATCGCCTCATTGTTGACAATGTGTGACAGGCCGAAAAATCTTTCAACAGTCCTTTCAACTCGAGGCTCTGACGTTCATCAAGCGCTTAAAGAGCGAATCACCATTTGCGCCAATAATCATGAAGGTACCATCCTGCTTGCGCTTCGACCCTTGGCGGCCATTACTCTGGGAACCTTCATACCTAAGTATCTTAGACAAAGGCAAAGGCAAATTATATAGTTGCGAAATGCCAGCATGGATCAATGTTACTTCTGGCGCTAGTGGCTTTCAGTCTTTGCACTTGTGTCACTCCGATTGCCTTGCATGGGTACGTGCCCGTTGGCACAATCCCGGTCAAGGAAGATCCAGACCTTCGCAAATCACCACTCTCCATGGAACACTGGGTTGCTGTCCCCAATAGGGGAACGTCTACACACAGGTCGGCATAGCGGACCTGGATACTGTAATTCTACTCCAACCATATCCGATCCAAATAGCCAAAATGTAGTGATAATGAATAAGCCGCTAAGCCAAGCCCACGCGCTAAACAAACCAAAAACCAAAGCCCCCAGCAACCCCCAGCATAGACCCCAGATAGTGAAAGATATTTGTCGGCAGCATAGCAGTTGCACCCACACTCCAAGACGCGTGCTGCCATAGGGCAGCGGCCCCAGCAGCCAAGCTCCAAAGCGCACACGGGCCATACACATCTGGCAGCGGCATCTTGTAGCGGCATCAGCAGCCAGGCTCCAAACTGCATCCAGGCACCCCTTCCTATACTTGAAGTAAGAACCCAAGGGAAAAGCAACCTACCCGAACCTGTCAGGACAGGATTTCATCTCAAGCTAGTATAAGCTAGTAGGACGCTGCGACACTGCAGGAGTTCTCAGGCAGCCAAATGGCGGCTGTCGGATTTCGGCTGCATAGTCATACTCTGGGACGCATGCCTCAACCAGGCAGCACGTGTTGCACGTTTTGTGAGCCCAAAGTGACAAAGTGCCCGAATCTATCATCTGGTATATATATATAATTTATACATGTTGCCATTAGTAACAAGTGCATTGCTACTAGTAACAAGAAGCTATTAGCAGCGATGCACTTGTTACTAGTAGCGATGCAATGTGGTGAAAGAGAAGCACTTCCAATCAACGTCGGCGAGCCTCCAAAAGACTGAAGACGCTCTCTGCAATGGAAGCGTCCACATCTTGACCTGGCTCTGGCAACAAAGGCAGGAAGAGAGTGAAGACAGAACACCTCTTTTAGAATTTCAAGAGTAAAACGTAAATATCTTACAAATGTGTGGACTTTGTCCGAAACCAAAACTCCACACAAGGCAAGCCAAAAGTAGAAATACCATGAAATCCCGGATGATTTCTTCAGGACTGACTGGGAAGAGGAAAAGTGTTCCTTCACAAAACATTGACATGACAGCATCAAACAACCCCTTGTCTGAGAGACCAGCCAATGCCACAAACGACTCCTTCAGAAAGTCGACCTTGGCCCACACGAGCTAATTACCCAATGCTTCAGCATGATTATGCACTAACATGCAATAACTATAATGCTTTTCACGTCCATTATTATTTCAGGGACTGAGTGCTATGGTTCAAGATCATCAGGCAGTTCCCAGTACCTCTGGTGGCTGCAACCCCCATGCGAAGGTTTGAGACTTTTGGCGTGGTTGCTGCCGGAGATTTCACGGCAAATTGATCTTCTTTGGCCAACCTAAATGGACATTGGAGCAGTCTCAGCATCACAAGCCTCGCAAAGAAAGCATACAAGTATGCTGGTGCTGGTGAAGGGACAGTGGCAACAGCTTGGGGATGAAGAATCGATAATGCCACTTGTGACCATAGTCATAGACATCCAACATCATCGAAGGTGGTTTGTTTCTTCACGGCTGATATTGTATCGCACAACCAAAGCATGCAAATATCCTCCCCGCTTGCAGTGAAAGGCCAATCCAAAACTAGAGATGAATGACAGCCAAAGTGGAAGTCCTGTTTGAGGACAGTGCCTGAACACTCGCATTACACACTACTATATCATTGATGGTTGATTATAACTATGCTGTAGCACGAGCTGTAGCATCCTTAGAAAGTGATGGCCAGTCCCTGATAGACTGCGCCAATGCGAGGCTGGTCCAATTTCAAAAGACCCATGCCGTGAAGTCTTGCCAGCTACAAACACAAAAGGATCACAAAATGGACAGGTGCTTTGGAAATTACTCCACTAGATCCTTTACATCCACAGTGTTCCTATTGCCTACCTTGAAGAGATAATTGCAATGACGGATGTGCAGCGCTTCCTAGCCAATCCAACCCTGCCATCTTGGACCAAATGTGTGCTCGTCGATTGATTACAGCAGGCGAGCAGGACAATTTCTGGTGTATCTTTGGTGGCGCTCATGCCTCTCTCTTGCAGTGTCTTGCCTTCTACAAGGAGTTGTGTCCGACTGCGTCCTGCGTTCACCCAGGGCCATCAGATCAGAAGTCAGTTCAGCCAATCTCCACGTGGGAAAACCCATGCAGCTCGCAGTGCATCTTCTGGCCAAAACCTTGGGGGGTCATGCACAGTCGTTTGCAGGACCTACATTACTAAAAATATCTCAACCTCCTGAGTGTTCTTAAAGACCTATCTCTAGGTCTAGGGCATTCTAGGCCACACGGCAGTGCGCCAAGTGTGCCACTGTGGAGACTTGCCCGTTTCGCGCGTCATTTCCACAAGCTGAGCAAGCTGCTGATGGTAGATCAATGCTTTCACCACTGGACCAGGCTCAGTTGGCATGACATCAACCACTGAGCGTCGATACACCCCAACCTGCAATCTTCGGATCGATCAGTAAGAACAAGCTACTTTGGGATGTTTTGTTGCAATCTTTCCCCTAGCCTGAGGCAGCAGAAAACCATAGAAAACCAAAACAAGGACAAACACGATGTGGCAAACCGGGAACCACTTTCAGATCGGTCGAGGTCGAGGTCAAGCCTACGAAAAAGCGGTTGGCCTAAGTGATGCACCATGTAATTAGTCGAAAGGCAATCCCATAATGAGTTTTTTTGTTAAACTTGAGCAATGAGGATGTTCGAAAGGTTCCAAGCACACAGCGGTGTGACTGAAAGAACTCAAAGAAAACCCCGATGCTACGAAAACAGAGTAGCTTTCTTTTAAGCATGAAGTTGGAGGGTGGAGTGCAATCAAGTCCGGGTGACTTTCAAACAACTCACAGTTACGTGTTGCGAGGTGAAATCACTAGAGAAAAATAACAACTCACTGCTCAACAAGCTGCTACCGGGCTTGACCTGCTGTTGACACCATGTATATATACATCTATGCGAGACAATGGATACACTGTGCCACAATGAAAAGGGACAGGTCAACAACTTGATGCAACATGTAGCAATAAGGTGCTTAAAGGAGGGTGCTGGCATCAAATTATATAGAAGTTGCTGCCACCAAGCTGGGGAAAACGAAAACACGGGAAGGGAGTCGTGCTTGATTCTTGATTGATGCTGGCCTTTTTGGAAACTAGTGATGCAATGCTCTATGTACAAAACAACTGCTTGTGTTCGACCAGCTGAGCAAGGATTTTGGGATGTTGGCAGCATGTCTCTAATTACGCTAATTTGATACCGTTTGTTCTCATTCTTGAACAAAAAAATAGTGGTGGTCCTGTTGGCTGATCAGCATTTGTGGTGCGCCTTCGAACATGATCAAAAGAATCTGTGTCAAGCAAATGGTAATTTTCATGTTCCCCACAATGCTTCGACATCGAGCAATTGTCTTATGACAATCTTTGACCCAAAATGGGCGATGGGTGCTGAGTACCTTTGATGCTTACAGTAGAAGATCACTCGGGAGGGGTGTCAATCATTGAAATGGCCCCTACACGCTACAAGTAGGAGCAAATGCAATTCTCTTCCAGCGCCTCTGGGATGTTCGGCCGAAAGCCTTCCACTTGATTGCCTGAGTAGCACATCTGCATCCGCGCAGTACCTTTATTTGTTTTTGCGACGTGGTGGAACACACTGCTCCCACATATTAAACATCCACAAACATGTTCAGGATTTGCTGTGTCAATTTCCTTAGTTGACTTTAGTTGGCTTCCCCGCCGCTGTAACATAGTCAATTTGTGGTTTCCACTATGCAATTCACAACAAGCTAAGCGTAAAGCCGGTTAGTGCACGTTGGACGAAGCCTTTGCTTCCAGCCAAGGAGCAATTAGCAATAGTTTCACGGGCAGCGGCGTCTGAAGGCCAAGAGATGACCTTGGTTTGGCTTTGACACACACACACAGAGTATTGGCATATTATGTTATTATGTTTCCATACATGGCGAGTTGTCAGCTTCTGAGACGCTTTTGCGCGAGTGCCTTCAGCCTGTCATGCCAAGTGCCAACAGTTCTGTGTTGCACCCTCCCCTGTATTTGTGGGGTCTATGACTATGCTTAATTATGTACAGTATGCCCAAGCATGTCTCGAGGACATCAATGAGTGCAGGTCAAACATGGGTACTCTTGAGTTGGCTTTGCCTTGATGAGTGTTGCATGATGGTGTATAGTTCATGTTGCTGTGTCTGCAACTGCGGCACGGTGCCAACAATGATGTCGCTGGCCTCGGTGTGTGCATCCCAGTGCGCAGGTGAGAATTCTCTTCCAAACAAGGAGCCTTAGCATCATCGATTTAATGATAGTCAATGCTGAACTTTCACCCCAGGCCTTGCTCTTCAATGTCAAAAAAGGGTGCTTGCTGGGGGTCCCTGGAGGGTACAATCTACCTCGCCTGCATTCTACACATGCAGGCTGCAGGTATTTAAAGCATACAATTCATCATCATCATCATCATCATCATCATCATCATCATCACATATATATATATATATATATACATATTATAGAGAGTTCTCCACCCCTCCTCATCTCTCTCTCTCTCTCTATCTCGCGCTCATTCTTCTGCAGCGCTGACAGTCGAGCTGTAAGAAGCTGTGTGGGCACATACAACCACAGTATATAGTATACAGTTCTAGGATGTTCGTCTGGTCCTTTTCTTTCACCTTCTTTCAGCTCCATGTCTTCGTCTGGGCACACTTCCAGTTTGCACCGCAAAGGGGTATGTCAGCCGTGGGTCCTGGAAAAGGCCGAGATGAGAAACCACGGTCAACATAGATCTTTAAGTGTTTGTATGTCCTTGCTAGCAAGGTTTCAAGTTCGCCTTGCGGAACCATACCTTGCAAATAGTATACTTGCACAAAGCTTCCCGAATGTTCAATTGACCACTTGTCCGAGTCCTCCTGTTTGCCTCTCCATCCATGCCACCAAACTGCCATGACCAAACTAAAACAGAACGACAAAGAGATGAAGAGATTCACCAGACACCCCCTTTCACTCCTGAAAAAGACGGAAGCCTTGCACAAAGGCTTTTTGCCATGTGGCATTGCTTTTTTGCAGGATCCCCCACTTGTCACCACCTGGGCCGAAGTCACCTGAAAAGCAAAGAGCAATGGACAACGAAGGGGTGACTGTGCCAAAAGGGTCTAGTTGGACCAAATGCTTCATTGACCACAAATTGATCGCGAATGGTTTTCCTTGTGTCTAAGCCTTGAAAGCACACTGAAGAGGGCATATGAGCCCGCCCAGCTCTGTCGAATAATAGTAATATATTTATATAGAAATTTGAAAAACATCTGAAACGATGTACAGTAAGCCCTGGAACCATAATTGTGCGCCACCTGACATAGAGAACCATAACACTCTTTTCAATTTTTTAGTTGGCGTGACGACTTTCCTAGTGAACAATGAGTTGATTTGCAGCTCAGAAAGTGCACCTTCTATGCAGCCTTACACCACTTCCTCCAGTGCACCACCCTTGTGTCTCTCACAAGGTCGGACGATTCCCCCACCGTCAGATCCTGCAAACGTTGCGGGATTGCTTCCGATACCGTCGCGCACCCTCATGTGAGACACAATGTCAACCTATGATTTATCAAGTTACCCTCCTAAATAAAGCTAAACGGTTTTACCGCTGGACCTAGATATCCCCAATCTGGCCTTTAAACAGTTGTCTTGAAAAAGACTCCTGCCTCCAAAGAAAGCAAGCAGCACAGCACAGCCACAACCACCACCACCACCAACAACCAATACCAAAACCTCCAGCCCTGTCCTTCCTACCAATACGACCAATACTAAAACAGTATGTTAAGCCTATTTGAGGTCATGTGAGGAAGGGGGCCCCCCTTGATAAATCAGAGGTGGACATTACGCTTCCCAACCACTCTGGAGTCAGCTAAAGTGGCGTACCAAGAAAAGGGAAAAGGGAGAGTTTGCACAAACGAGTCAAGCACCTCAAACCAACTCCCACGACGGCAAGCTTTTGGCGGCAGCAGCAGCAGCAGCAGCAGCAGCAGCACCGTTGTCAAAGAGACCAACCAGTTTCAATCGCTCCTCATCTGACAGAAAAGCTTCACTTCCAAAGAATGCACCTTTCGGAAGTACTCGTCCGTTGGAGTTGTTGCCGTTTGAATCGCTTTGACCTGGGAAAAAGGTGACATTCTTGACATTTGATTTTGACAACATTTGCCAAAATCAAAAGGGTCAAGAGTGTCACTTTTTCAATCTTTTTCCCAGGTGAAAGCGATTCGAACAGCAACAAAACCTGCAGGATGTCTTCCACCAACAGCAGCTGCATACTGCAACTTTTGTCTCTTCCTGGTTTCTTCAAGAGTCCCTTGGGATCTGCTGTTGAACATGTCGTCCCAGCTGGATCAGCAGCGACTGTCCATGTCGTCGGGATCGGTCTCTTCCGCTCGAGAGAGCCGTGAAATCGGGTGTGAGATGCGGTGGTCTATACTACTTGCTGCTTGCTCTTCCAAGCATTGAGCAGTTCCTCACAAGTGCGGGTACGTGCGTAGATCTATTACTATATATGTGATTATATGTGTCTATGTACATGTTTGTGCATATGCAAAAAGGTGTTTGGTCTGAGGGCCTGGACTTTCTCAAGGTTGGGGCCACGGCTCCTATGCGCCCTCAAACAAGAAACAGCCAAGAGAACATTCTGGAGCCTACTAGGAATGAGGGACCTGCGTACTTTAAAGTGTGACAGGCGGCCAAGCGGAGTTTCAAGACGATCTCGACATCTACAGGTGCTGGCACGGTGTTCACGGAGTGCGAGTCCAAGTGCGCCAAGTGGCCCCGTAGAGTGCCGTAAGCAAAGACCTTCAAGACCTCACTCGGCAGCACGAGTGAGAAGAACCTCCTGGCCGCTAGAAGAGGTAAGAAGTAGCTAGTAGAAGAACAACTACTAGAATGCTACTACTTAGAACGCAGGATAGCGATCGCACTATTCATTTGGTTCCTAAAATTTTAACGTGTTTTTGGATGACATGCAAACTCTACCGTGCTTCTCTGTCCGTGTGACTCGGAGAGTGGAATGCAACTGTCCAACCTGCCCTTGCCGTGGAACACGTCAGTGCCTCCAGTGTTTTTTCAACTTCTGGATCGTCGTCAAAGGCCGCCAGCTGTGACAAAATGTTCTGGAGCCAGGCGAGGGCAAGCAATGCTGAGAAAATGAATGACATCGCAACATCTTGCAACACATTCTAGCCCCTGATATGCCTGGTATGTGTCGTGAACATCCATTCATGCTCCCCTCACTAGTTGGGAAATCCTGTGAACTGCTAGTGGTGAGTGGCTACAAATTCTCAGCGGCTTTGCGCACCCAGAGCTTGGGTGTGCCGATGATGCATCTGAGCTATCTACTAGGCAACCACACACATCAAACATGAAGTGACACGTGTTAACTGCCAATAACCTTCAATAGCCCACCTCTTTCAGACTCGCCGGAAGCTGGTCAACATGTTTCGCTAAGTCCGCCTGGGCGGGGATTCCGACTGAGTCCGGTGATGTTTCTCCTCAACAGGGGTTCAATAAAGGGCTTTCAAACAAATTAATGATATCGATTCATGTCAATTCCGTGCATGAGACTCAACAGTAACTTTAGATACAACTTGATTCAGCCAGCTGCAGACTCGGCTTCCAACATTATATAAATTCCACCATTCATGAAAGGTGACAATACCTTGGCGTTCCTCTGCTGGGATGGTTTGACTGCAGCACAAAAGCTACAAACTTCTGATTCGCCTGGGCCTAAGAATGCACAACTTGTATAATTTGTTTTCAATTGTGACAACCTCATGCAATCACCACAGCAACACCATGCACTATCAACTATGTCCTGTTAGGCAGAGTGCCACAAAGCTTGCAAACCCCACTTGACATGACTTGTAGTGTCCAATGTGGCCTTTTTAATTCGCGGGTTGCACAGCACCTCTGCCACATCCTGCCATTGTGGTCGTCAAATCTACCGCACATATTCAACATAACATATCCAAGAAAGGCCGCTGAAGAAAAGACAGCACGCACACACACACACACTTGCAAGCATAACACATTTTCAGATGCACTACATTGCACTGACAATTCATTCACCCCCGCAGTTGACCTACAGTCAGAAAATTGCATAAAATGGCATCTGTGCGGTTTTGTCCCTTGTCTTCATGTTCACGATCTTCGATGCCTCTGCATCATGCCCGCACTTTGCCAAGCTTGAGTGAAGTTGCGATCCCACCACAAGTGGCAAGGACGGCCTTCTCAATGCCTGACACAGCTTAGCTCATACTTGTAGGGCTTGGAACCAACCATGGCTTGATGCAAAATGCCAGTGTGACAAATTGATATGACTGAAGTGTCAGCGCAGCCGCCGATAGAACCTCCGATATTTATATAATACATAAAAATACATAATATATACAGTATATATATACGTATATATTTATATATTTGGATATATTTAGTATATACCCTCTGTTCATCTCTTGTCCCTTTTCCACACGCGAAGCCATCTTGCCGCCTCGAAGCAGCTACATGCCTGGAGGCTAAAGGCGACTGAAGCGACATTGTTGCAAGAGCTGCACAATTTGTCTAGCATGGTTTCCGCACTTGAGATTCTGGCTTGAGCACCACGACCCGCTCTTTCCCACACTTGTGAGTCCCCGCAGTCCCCGCAGTGGTACAGCGGGCACAGTTTACAGTCCTTTTGCATATGTCACCTGCGTGCCATCTCCCTAGCTTCCCTTCCAAACCCAAAAGCTGTCCGGGGCCCCAACCATCACAAGGGCTGCTGCAGTGAAACTGTCCGGCGCTGTAGAATCTGATTCTATTGTTGCTATATGTTCGGTCAAATGATAAACCTCGATTCTTGATGTGTTTGCACTCCATCAGTTCAATTGGTCAAACGAGCAGCATTCCATTTGCAGGTCCAAACTCCTTTTGACCAACAACCTTCCCAGTGTGGTGGTGGTTGGGACTTTGTGGTGGTGCTTCTGATTGATGGAGTTGGTGTCTAACAGGAGGCAACCACTGCCATAGGGTGTCATGTGTAAACAAGTATCTGAATTTATCCGAATTGGCATCCTGAGAGCTACTGCTGCGGCCAAACATACACGAGATAACACAACCGTTGACCGCCATGTTAGAATGGAAAAGAAACATCGCACAAATCAAAACGGATTGCAAAACAAAGGCAACAATCTGCCAAACTGTGCTGATGGTTGCCATCACCTCATCTGGGTCACTTCCGGAAAGTATGCAAAAGAAACTGGAGACCTCGGCTCTCGTTTTCATGGCTGGGTCGATGGCCCCTTTTCAGCAGGGCCAGCAAAATGCCCAGCCTTGCTCGAAGCTGGTGGTGGGTGGCAAGCATGACAAAAGCAACCTAACCCCATGGACCCCATGCCAATGCATAATTTCGCCCATCGGATGTATGAATCTGAATGTCGCCTATGATTCGCTGTTGGTGAGAGCTGGTACGAGAAAAATTGCCCAGTGGGCATGCAGCAAGAAGAGAAGCGGAAATGAGCGTGAGTGGCTCGCAAGAAGAAGTGACTGATTGCGAACAGCTAGGGTGCTTTAGTGTCTGGAGTTTAGCATCACATACATGTATCTGGGGCGTGCAATCCGAAAGATTAAGCAGTGAATTGACTTTTTGGACATGCCAACATGAACTTCCAAAGTTCAGGTTCCCACAAATGCTGCCAAGTGACACAGCATTCATGCCGGCCAAGGTGTCGCCAATGGAAAGATTGGGTCGCACTGGTGGCTCCCCCGGCACACCTACGGTGCATCCAAACAAACTTGTAGCTTGAGTGAAAACCCTATCCCTATCCTGCTCACTGAGCATAAGTCAACCGGGGATCTAAGCAAGAGTTACGCCCTCAGTCGCAAAAACAAACACCTGCATACTTCACAACACGGCTATGTCAAAAACTACCCAACTTCGATCCATCTCAAACAGTCATACAAGCGAGAGTAGAACAAGCGTCATTGGGTTAGCCAAACAGTGGCTGAAAGCAAATCGATTGCCTGCCAGGGCAATGTATGATATGTGATCTTTATATAGGAATGACGGTATGGGGTGATTGCTGTAGTCGTACGGTCGGCTTAACTGAAGAAATCTGAAGAGCACGGCAACACATCTCTCATCCGAGGTGCCATTCACAAAGCGAAAGCCGCCGAAGCCCTCACAGACTGAAGCAAAGCCAGGCTCTGCGGATCTCGGCCAGTCACGATCCAACAGTGCCAAAACGTGCCCCAACTCTGTAGTCTATGGCTTTTTGGGAGTGGGTATAGCGGAGCCAAGCAAGTGCTGGACACATAGCCAAATGGCTGAAGCATGCTATATATACTATATATATGTGCGTGTGAGTGTGTGCATTTTTACTTATACTTTTTGTTTTTACAGTAACATCTTTTAAATAGAGCCTGCAAGCGATTAGACTGCAACAACCCATGCCAACTGTGATTGGCTATGCTCAAAGCAGTGAGTGAACCAAGAATAGTCACTGCATGACAATGTCACCACATGACGGCAAATTAAGTGACCTCCTAAATTGCAGCCACGGCTCTTTGGCCCAGTTTGACCATAGCCCGACCTTGAGATCTCTGATGTGCTCAATCCGCTGCAAATAGACCCTTCATGACCCTGCCATAAACTTGTGTGTCAATGACGCTGAGTTGAGTGGGCAGAATTCTTAATGCAGCAAAAAGGCACACGGGCTACAATAAGTCCAGGATTCTCCTCCGCAAGCCGGTCTCATAGCCCACTACATCCCACTAGGAAATTCGCATCCTTTTCCATTTATGTTCCAACCTTCAAACTCGTACTGGTGTGGTATGTTCATAACTCCCAAGCAGGTCCGCGCTGAAGTGTTAAATTTCAATCAAACAAGCAGGCAAGTAGCAACTATATAAGTAGATGCAAACGGAGCTACCACCTCTCATTTGTCTCAGGATTCCAACGTACCCATCAACCGTCTCCTGTCGTAAAGTCTCTGGTGCCATGCCCCATCGCTCAAGGGTGCCTGGTTTAAAGTTTTCCACCAGCACATCCTCGGCATCATCTCAACTTGTCTGTCGGGCCGTGGGACAGGCAAAACACATGAAAAAGTCATGCAAATATTGCACTCACACCTCGAAAGTGAAAGACTATGAAAAAAACAACGCTACCAGTATGATCTTGCAACCACAGAGTTCGGATCACCTCAATGGAAACGGCTTCTTCACCTCTCCTGCCTGCAGTTTTTTGCTGAGTTTCTGTTGGGGTCATTCATGTTCTAAAATCTCTTACATAATTGCAACCTCTGTTGAAAGCTGAGGCAACGGCAGCATGACCTGGAGGCAAGAACAGGCAACATCGCGCTCCAGATCTTCCGTTCCAGTGTAGTTTCACTTTCGCTCTTCAAAGCTTGGAAACCCATATCTTCGCTTACGTTTTGACACTTCCTCGGGCGTCAGAACATCACAAAATATGTTTTGTATGCGGGAACACGAAGAGAAATAGTGCTGGTATCAAATTCTCTGGGCCTAGAATCGCTTAGAACCGTCAAGCACTGATGCAAACTGATTCTTATCCCAACCTGTAAGCTTCTTCAGCAACTCGCGGCCCTTTGGCTGTCGTAGATCCAGCGCTAGGCTCCGCTTGTTTCGAGCTATGCCTGGCGAGCATGTTTTCCAGCAGCTGAAAGGAGGGACACTACTCAAGGTCTATATGTCTATATATATATATGGTTCTCTAGTGATTGTTTCATATTGTGTCATTACAAGGGTTCTGGAATCATTCCACCTTGCAGGGAACTGCTTCGAGATCGGCCCAATTATCAACGCACTAAATACATCCGAGGCACTCTGCCACCAAAGGCTTGTCTGGGTCTGACCTCGGTTCAGCATGGGTGTCACAAGAGCATACAAGAGCCAATTGCTAGTCCAAACTCAGCAAAGTGATTCAGGTTTGGCAGGAAAATCTAGCAACAGCTCGCGTCCGTAACCTTTGGACAGTCCTTGTGACCTTCGTGAACAAAAAGGTTGCTTCAGCAAAACGCCTGGCTGACATTGCTGCTGTGATCGGGAGGCCAAGGTCTACCCGTATTTGGTGATCACCGCCAAGCAGCTATCAAGAATTCTCCACTTGCGAATGCCATCTCCGACTTCAGGCGGCTCCACCTCATCTGCAGTGGAACACAGTTGTCAAGCATTGGATTTGCCATCGCAATGGCCAGCAGCTGGAAAACTTCCATTCGATCCCATCCTCAAGGAGTTCAGCTTTACCCAAACACACCCAATGTACTGCCCCCATCAATGTGACTCAAACAAGCTTAGAGAACATCTAACACCTGAGAATACAACCAGCAAATCCAAAGCCGTGCGATGATGAGAGCAAGGAATGCTGACATAAGACCTGCTGATTCGCATGTCTCTTCTTTTCACCTGATTCGCATCGCTGACACTGACCCCCCTAGTGTCTCCCACCTGTACAAGCTGCAGAAGCTGCAGAAGCTGTGCCGATCGGATTGGCTCGACTCAGGTGTTCCCCCCACTAAGCGGTCCCACCCTCGGAGCAAGCGGTTGCCGTGGCAACAAGTCCAAACAAAAAGAACAGGTGCTAAAAATGCGAAAGTTGGAACCTGATGGGTCAAGGTGGCAGGAATAGCAACAAGCTTCCGCGGATTCTTCCAGACCCTGCCATTGATTTGGAGGTTGGAACAACACTTGTTCACCCCAACAGCAGATTTTGAGGACATGTTGCCCGCCTTTCCTTTCTTGGCTCTGTCGGGACAAGGCGATCCTTTTCATTTTCTCGTGCGTCCAAATATCAAGGGAACGACATCTGGCCTACGGAATCGTCTTGCGGGACAATTCATTCTCTCCCCAGAATTGTCTTGCGGAACTACTTTCCATCTGCATGAGAAGAGAGGATACATGAGAAATGTTGTGTGTGTGAGAGGTCGGCAGTTCTTAGTTGATCAACAAGTTTGCTGAAGTTCAGATCAAGGACCCGCTCCACTCATCATCGCTCATCAGCCAATATCCAATGGTCCAGTGTCATTCGGCTCAGGTAGGCTGACACTACATTGGATCAAAAATCGATGAGATCATCTCCAAACGAATCTTTTGCAATTCATCACCTCCGGCTGAAATGCTCAACTGCCGTCCTTCTTGACAGGATTTGACAGGATTGACCAAAAAATTATGCAAATTATATACAGTATTTACAAATTGGCGCATGATGGCGCATGCAACAGTTCTACAGTTTCGACTGCAAAGCAACGAAGTGGCACTACGGCCGGACTCCTGCTAAGGATTCAAAGCTGAGCGGCGGGATTTCTTGGACAAAGCCCCTTCCATGATGGCTCTCTTTTGCTTCTGCACCTCCAGAATGCGCTCCTGGATTCTGAAGAGCAACGTGACCTCTCCAATGTGAATGACCTACACTAAGTACAGGCTGTAATACTCATCCGTCAAAGAAATACAAAACGACAAAGTAGCCAGTGTGGATGAGGCCGCTGGGCAAACATATTTCCCTACATCAAAGGTCGCCAGTTACTTTTTTCATTCAACACGCGACCCTCCTGCTCCCTAACTATATACAGTAATATGGTACGTATCTGCTCAACTGTGATCAATCATTGTGTCATGTCTTGAGCATTCGCAGTTACAGTGGCCAAAACTGTATCAGATCAAGTGGTATGTTTTAACTATATAGTTCCAAGGTGTGCAAATAGGTTCTTATTCTCATTGCTCCCAAAGTCGCGTGATGTGCTTTGCCAGTGGTGAGGTGGCATATCGATACGCATTGGCGAAGTCGAACATGTTTACGGCTGGTGAACCGATGTGAAGCGCAGATGGTTTAATTGTTTAACTCGCTCTGTCGGGGCTGAGGCGAGATCAATAATGTGACATGTTCTGTGCCAATGTACCGGTGACAAGTACAGTATAGTGGTGGCTTATTTGTGGCGGCCATGACGCTGGACTGGAGATTGTCGTGGGTGTTGGGTGTTGGGTGCTTCTTGCAGCTGCTGCACTGACTGGTGGACTGCGTCAAGTGCCATGCTCAAGCGCCGGTGACGCAGTGCTTCCTCGTTGGTGTCTCTAAATCCGGTTGTTTCCACCAACTACCTAAGTTCTTGAAGGAAGGAGTGCTCCAGCGAGAAAGCGCTTGCTTTCATGAGAAGCTGGGATCGCATCACGTGTGCGCATACTCGACTTCTGGATGTTTCAATATGTCTCACCATGTTTCACTTCCCGCCGCACCCTCGGCATCTGTTTACCAACACAGCCTCCACAGTGCGCTCTGCCACAAAACGCAATGCTCGTACATCACGGCGTTGGCCCAAGCGGTGCAAGCGATCAATGGCTTGGTCCTTTCTGGCAGCCAGCACAATAGCCGAACACACGGCGGAAATGGTGAGTGATTGTGTTTATGCCTCTCAACCTGCAATGATCTTGACTTTGATGAGTAATTGAACACAAAAGTTTCAAAAGAGCCAACTTAAAGGACAACCATTGACAAAGGAAAGCGAATTACGTTTCATGGGGATATTGATGCATTGTTGATGAATTGTCCTGCTGGCCAGCCTTTCCATCAAGCAGTCGGGACAAGGCGCTAGCCGCTAGCGTGTGATAATTATTGTTATTCCCAAGAAAGTATCCTACCTCAAGGTGTCATCTCATTTAAGGGCCCTGATCCCATCCTCCACTGCCGGGTTCCACCACCTCTGTGCGGGCGCTATGGCAAGATCATGCAAGATCTTCATATTTTGTGCAACGTGTTTCTAAGACCGCCAAGCCAAAACTTCTCATAGTCATACTGGTTCGTTGAGGGAGAAGTATTTCCGAACTGTGCAAAGACCAAGGTCTATAAAAAGAATCAATCTATCCCCACCCAAGCAGCTCTTTGCGAGGTGGCTGTCAAGTGCACAAGCAAATATACTGGTGGGGAAATCTTACAGGGACTCGGTAATGATCGTGAGGAATTTTGCAGGAAGGCTTTCCGGGTGGGGCCTGCAGCAGCAAAGGTCAAAATTATCCAACAACCCCAACGCTGCCGGGGTCAGGAATCAGAAACAACTGCATGGACCTGAAAGGGTGGCCACGCATACGGTCTAACCCCAGAACACTTTGCGTATATAAGGCTTTTGATCAAAATTGCTGGGCCCTGCCATCGATGCACTTCTACAAAGTGTTCCAGCATGAGCTGAGTAATTCTGATTGGGTTCCGGGCGGGTCGATCAGTAGCACATGATCAGCAGCTGTGAGGTTCAAGCCTGCAACGCACACACAAATTGCACATTTATCATCCACGCGGTCCCTAATCCCATAAAGGACCGAGCGCTTGTATAAAGTATACAGGTTGAGGTAGGCCAAGCGGATTGATGGGAGTGGCACAAACAGCCGGCCATCCAAGTGCGTCTGCTTCCAGGCAACTGCCGCAACTGCTTTCTAGAGTCACATCACCATGGCCACATGCACACACAGGGACCAACTCAAGCTGTACCCTGGAGCTGCTGTCGGCTTAGCTATTGGTACCCTCCATCACTCTGTCCACAATCAACTCCACATCATCAAACAGGGAATCAACACGAGTAGCGACAACACCCTGAGATGCGTATGCAGGCAATTGCCGATCTGCTACAATTAGCCAATTCACTCAAGAAGGCTACTGTAATGAAATGAACATGAATCAACTTCAAAGAGCATAAAGGGGCCATGGGGTCAGAGATTTCTTTTGATTGAATATGCGGTATAGTATATATGCTCATCAGGTCATCCATCTACGCCTGTCCCGGCAGCTTTCAAGCTGCAAAGCATGACCTGCGCGCCGCTAGAACAGCTAAGATAGCACTTGGAGAGTCAAATCATGTCAAATCAAACTTGATGAAATAGTTATATACTACGCAATATATCAAAATAATAAGAAAACATATACATATATGCTGTATATATAACTTCGTTTGATTTGACAGTGCCTCCAGTCAGGGCTGTAGTGTGCACTGGCAGAGGCTGCGCTCTAAACTTCAAAGACTGAAGAGAATGCATGTCGTAGCACAAAAGAGATTAAAAGGGAGGTTACGGCCTCCTTTAATAGGGCCTTTACAATTATTTGGTTATCATTATCTCTTAATTATTATTGTCAGCCTTGTTGGCAGTATATAGCTTGATCCCGCTTCCCAAGAACATAGCCCGAAATGTTTCAGTTCGGTCCTGGATGTGGGTGTGTCCGGCGAAGCTCTGCTGTGCATTAACCCGGGCGTCATGATTCATGGACCCATCCAAGCGAACGAAGGGCAAGTGCTTCTGCTTCAGCTCCTTAGTCTGTGTTCCTTCATGCATTGGACATTGCGTACATATAATATGAATGCTACACGGTCACCCCTGCGCCACCCTCCTACGAAGTCCTTGTATGATGATGCAATTGATGATGCATGGTAATTAGGAACAACAATGGGCGACGAGTGTATATAACTATAACATTATAGTGACGGACTGAAAGTTAGAATGGGTCGGCGAGTTCCACAAAAAAACATGTCCAGTTAGAATGTTCAGCGCGCCAGGAGAAAAAACAAACAGTAAGAATGCGGGGTGCCCCCTTTAAATGTTCAGTCCGTCACTGTCGGATTATATGTATGTGTGTCATACACATATAATTTTAGATTGGAGTGCCCCAGCAGTTGAGCAGGTTTGGTCTGAGATTGGGAAATGCCGCGCACACCCTCCATTCTAGCTCACTTCCTAAGTGAAAGGAGAAGCAAAAGGAGTAATTATAGTGAATGCGAGAGTATATCAAGGGAATGGGACGGGGAGAGAGCCCCAGCCAAAGGAGGAAAGTGCAGCCTGCCGGACCCAAGGAGAGCAACTCTCTCGACAGGTCGCCCATGTTGATGAAATTGATGAAGTTGACAGTGCTGGATACTTGCTATTGTTCACCGGTGGTGCAGATAGAATGCACTCGATCATCAAAGGCTTTCTACACACAGGTTTGTAGAGGAGAACATATTTGTTTACTCCCATATGGATTCTTGTATGCTCTCAATTCTCAGCCCTTGACATGTTGACATTTTTCACTTCTTGCACTATGCTTCATCTGAGCGCATGACAACATCATCAAAACCACACCACACCACAACCCCGGAAGCATTCTAACTAACTATTGAACCAATTTTAAC